CACCGCCATTCAATTTTCTATATTATCTTTTTATTTTTATCGGATATCTAATCAGACTACTAATGACTATTTATCGAAAATATCGACATCGTATATCAGGTAATATTTTCTTAAATAATGATTGACATTTTACTTCTTGATTTCTGTTTAGTGACTGGCGATGTTCCACCAATCGAACGAATTGCTATAGAACAGAATAGTATTCAAGAGGATGAGTTTAAAAGTAAAAATTTTTTACAAAAAAATCAAATTGATTTTTATTTGTAATCATAGTTACTGATGCAATGCAACGTGAAAGTGCGATAGCTGATGATTATTGGAGATATACATTGAAATATAGAAAGAAAGACCAAATGGAAATTGCATTACATGATATTGAACAAAAGTATGATCATTCTTTGTATTTGATTTTCATTTAAATTTATAATTGTAATTTTTAAGACTTCATGATGTAAGACAGCAATCAGATGTTATTACTCATAATAGAAGTAATAATTCATATTCGTATCAATTATCGGTAAGCGTTTGTATAAGATGTTCTTAATAATAATCCTTGTTTTCATCTGTATTTAGAATGATGTTCAAGATTCTCTTCAATTAGAAGATTAACAATCAATTTTGATTTATTTTTTTCAATCAATAAAAGAATATTATCATGAGAATAATCGTTGTTCTTCCATAGTTTTTATTTTTTCAAAAATAACTAGCATTATATGAAGATAATATTAATGTTGGAACTAATTGATGATCAATTTTATCTTTATTACTAAACAAGGATGATATAACTAAAATTCAGTGCTCCATACATTCACCATAAGAGTCATAAATAACAATAATAAATTCATTATTCACTATAGTTATGTGAATATAAAGCTTAAAAGATTTTCGCCATTGTTTTCAAGTACGCTGGAGTACGATCAGAATAGAGTGGAGTAAAAGCTTTGGCTAGGGGTGCACCGGTTACGGTTTTACACCGCTTGACCGTCTACAGTTAACCGTTCTAAAGCAATAACCGGTCCAATAGAAAGATCGATTAAACGAAAACCGTGATAAGAGGAAAACCGATCAAAACGAAAACTGGTACAGGTCGGCAACCGTTTTTATTTTTTGATAGCTTTGTTAATTCATATAATTATAAAGCGATGTTCACATGTTGGTTAGTAATTAGAGAAGCTAGTAATATCATTTGTTTTATTGTTAATAAGAATAAGGAATATCACCATATAGGCATCAATATTCATGTTCTTATATCGTATTACTGTTGTGCATCTATGAGTAATCGATTCTATGACGGTTACCGATTCAAACCGGTTATCGTTTTTATTACAACGGTTTTCGTTTAACTGGTCTTTCTATTGGGCCGGTTTTCGTTTAATCGGTCTTTCTATTAGGCCGGTTTTCGTTTAACCGGCCTTTCTATTAACCCGGTTTTCGTTTAATCGATCTTTCTCTTATCACGGTTTTTGTTTAATCGGTCTTTCTATTAAGCCGGTTTTCGTTTAACCGTTTTTCGTCTTAGGCCGTTAACTGCCACCGTTGCACCCCTAGCTTTGGCGTCCCACCACACTCCATTCTTACTCCACTCCACTTTTTCCCCACTTGGATGTAACAGTATATATTTTCGAACACTATGTTTAGTTACGAATAATAATGTTTATACGTGATGCGCTTTCAATACAGGTAAGAAAAAATGTATACGACACTTTTTACTCTATTTCAGTTTGATAGCTACTGATGGGCCATGTGCGCATTAGTCTGTTTTGAATAGAGCCCATCAGGT